CTACTACTTTAGGAAGGATTTCAGGCCTTGCTATGAAAGGATTGGTATGTCGGGAAGTTTGTTTCTTCATCAACTCAGAGAAAGAAGTTGCATCAACTCAGAGAAAGAAAGAAATTTCATCAACTCAGAGAAAGAAAGAAATTACATGAACAAAATAAACAATTTGTGTCATTGATATAAATGATTTATTCATACAATTTCCTCTATGAAAATTTGGTGTGTTAATAAAGATACTGTAAAAAATAACAGCTTTATGGTGCATCCATGCTGTGCTTTAATATTGCAGTGGTGTAGGAAATGGAGGTGTGTGGGTACCAGTGTGTTTGTGTGTGGAGGCCGGATGCTCCAGGAGTTCCCCAACAAGGAATATCAAGTCCCCGACAAGGAATATCAGGTTCCCCGACAAGGAATATCAGGTTCCCAACAGGGGGCTATAATCTTTCAAACAGTAAAATTATTGTTTTGTATGTTCAACTTATGCTCACACATGAAAATGTTGAATTTTTTGGCTCTCATGAAATGGTGCAGAATTTATTGTCTGTAACAGTGCATTTACCAGGACTACAAAACAAGGTCATTACAAAACATAATTTTTCCCAGTACATTCCACTTCCCTGATTGGGGAGGGGCTAGAATTTCCACATAGGGGAGCTACAGCCCCCCTCCCCCATACCTGATCCTTGCACTGCCTCTGCCTTGCCCAATTTCTCTTCAAAAGTTTAAAAATTATAAATTTGGTGCTGTTGACATGAAGTGCTCCTCAATTTTAAATTTCAAAACTTTCCTCCTGTGCCTATGGTGACTAATTAAACCTTGAAATCTAGCACTATAATTTATAAAAATTATGTCAACTGCATGTAAGAGATTCAGAAGTTAGTTTCCCAGATGTTGACACATTACTTAATACTGAATGTATGTATACAGCATAAAATTAGGAGGCTCATCACCAGTGTAGCAAAGTTGCAGTATTACTATTAACAATATAATTTGTCAACTGTAAAAAAACATATTTGACAGCCTATAAATTAAGCTATATATTGCATGAAATTTAAGGCAAAACATGGAGGAAGAACTAACATTTCCAGCTATTATATTAATCACTTTGTCATTATTAAATAGTATTAAAATACAATAGGGCCATTTATACGGGACAAAATAAGACGCGACTTACATAAGACGCGACTTAGATAAGACGCGAGTTTGTCGTATAAAAGGTACAAAATTCTTATGTAAGACGCGTCTTGGATAAGACGCGTCTTACATAAGAACAGGCCTTTTAGCTGTTCTTATCTAAGTCGCGTCTTAAATAAGAAATTTTGGACAAAAAGTCTAACTACACATGCCAGAAACTTGAAACAACGTAAAATTATTAGCCTTGCATATTAAAACAAAAACAAACAAAACAACATTATAGCTATAGCAAATAAATAAGACCAAAGCCGTAGAGAACCATTTATGCGATAACTCCGCTTATTTAAGTCGCGTCTTATGTAAGTCACGACTTATTTTGTCCCGTATAAATGGCCCTAATATGTCATTATTAAATACATTTAATATAAAACACAATATTTTTACATAAATTAAGAGCCTTTGATGAAATTGATATAAAATCAATAAAGTATGTCTATTAAATATTTAACAATTATTCGCCGAAGGTGAGGTGATTATCGGTGAATAAAAACCGAGACGAAGTCGAGGTTTTTATTCACGATAGTCACCGAGCCTGAGGTGAATAATTGTTTTAGTATAATTTCATAGGTGATTATTTGGAAAAAATAAGAAAATACACATTTCTTCGTCATTTAATTGACAAAAAGGCTTCGGCCGCCATTTTGAAAATCGCTTAGGTGATTATCGCGTAATAATCACCTCAACGGCAACCAATCAGCGTGGAGAATTTTCAATAATCACCTATGTAATTATACTAAAGTATATTGTAAAATAATTTATATTTTATAATATACTGTATTTAATATAATATTATGTATGGCATGGACCCCTCTTGCATTGAACAACCACACAGACACTCATTCACGATCAGGATTTTCTCATTTGTAATTGAAAGATGCAAGACATCACTCACAATTTTTGTAGATTTGTACAATTAACGGTACAGTCTTTCTCGCATAGCCTTTCGCCTGTCTTTGTTTATACTCTGTATATAATTAAATCTCGTATATAAAACTATAAAATGTCCCTTCGGCTTCGGCGATTTCAATCTTTAAATAATCCAATGTCCAATTTTGTGCAGCTTTTTAATACATTGTGACACAACATCCAATATGTTTTATATTTATAAATAAAATTTCCATTGATAGACAGCAGATTTCAACGACCAAAAGGACTCTTCGTCTTCTTTGAAGAGTTAATACACTCCTATCTACTCCTATAGTCAGCCATATTTATTAGTAAAAGTTCGTGTTCAATTTCCGCATTCCATTGTTATCATGCGACCAATCAAATCACTTTTCGTTTTGGTTTTCGCCAGGGCCTCCGGCAACGCTGTGTCAGCCGTGAGGCCCTGGGACCGAGGATGGACACAGCATGCAATATAATTGACAAGTGTTGTAGATTTCGTTACACAAAAAAATTATATTCTCATGAACATGTCCGCAGAGTGTGCATTTTGCTTGTTAACTAAACTTAAAAATTCAAGGTACTTTTATATCATTAATTAAGAGTCAGTTTCTCTATTTAACACCGAACAGCAAACAAAGATTTAATTAGTCAGTTCTGTGCACGGCTTGACTGCCAAGCTTTCTCAAGGTCTCAACTTGCTGGACGCGGATATACTCTAACGGGCTAACAACAGCAACAATGAAATTCTCAATCGTACCACGAAGAAGGCGATGTAGCTCAGAAAACAACGCCGGTAGGACCTGATAATAAAAATAAGACTTTTGCCGGCGAAGCCAGTTGGCAAAATATCTTGACTGTCAACAACAAGCTTTTGAATACATGATTAGTTTGGCTGTTCTTTCAGCGTCGTATTCTGTGATTAGGGCCTGAACTTCAGGTTAGCGACACCCCCACTTTTTTGACACCCTGCGCATTCCGTTTCAAAGTCTTCACGTGATATCTCACATGTACCACATGACCAGCTAGATGTTCAACCGCTCTTGAAGAAATATAGGTCCGCATTCTGCCGAAGTGTATGCCACTATTTTACAAGATCGAGATCACATTTTCGGTAAAAGATAGATCATAAGTATTTATGGGACTCTAAAGTGGACAAATCGAGGTGAATATTTCAAATTAAACGAATATATTTCATATATTTTGTTGCTTGACCTTCGTTCGGACGTCTGTGACCTTGTTTACGTTTGAATAAATTGACAGTTGAGTAGCGAATTTCTGAAGTTAAATTCCTAACTACGCACCTGATTGGACAATAAAATTAGAAACCAATATAATTAGTTTACCTGTCACACTGTCAAATTGAAACTGGTTAGATGGAAAACACGGAGTCGGAGTTCCGGAGTCGGAGCCCCGGAGTCGGAGTCCCGGAGTCTGACGTCATAAAAATATGGAAAACACGGAGTCATATGGAAAACACGGAGTCTGACGTCAGAGAAAAATATGGAAAACACGGAGTCATATGGAAAACACGGAGTCTGACGTATTGTCAGCGTGAAATATGGAAAATAGTAATTAAATATTATATAATTTATGCGAGGGTGTATCAAAAAAAACTGAACAGATTTGAAATTGCTCTCAATTTCGCAAAACACCTATTTGTATCCAGTTTTA